GAATAGACTGCAAATCAGCAAAAGAAGTTTTGGAAAAAGATGTGAAAAATTTGGTTTCAAAACAGATTTTTGCCCGTTGGCAAAGCTTAATTTCTTGTTTTGATTTTAAAATTGAATTTATTAAAGGAAAAAATAATTCAATACCCGATTTTTTAACAAGAGAATTTTTGCAGGGTTCAGCTTATGAGTGACCCCACCAAGAAAATGGGCTCTCAGCCCAAAACTTCTGAAAAATCAGGGCCATCTAGCCTCTCGCTAGATGACTTCTCACCTTCATATTCCCACCAAACCAGAAAACTCCCAAACACTTTGAAAAATCCCCTTGAAAACAAATTTACTGTTCTAGCCCAAACACCGAAAACTCCAGAAAAGGCCACCTCCTCTAATACCAAAAATATTCCCAAAGAATTTCACATTTTAGACCATTGTGAACATGTGGTCACTATTGAAGATCATTGGAATGAAGAAGACCCTTGGAAAATTTTGCAGAGTCTAGCTCCGCCAAAATGGAGTTGGATTCCCAAAAATGAAAATCTTAAGAAAAATAAAAAATTTTATCAATTTATTTTAATAGATACAGGTTCTGCTGAAATAACCCCTGTATCAGATACCCGTAATCCTTCCATCATAAATTATTCAAAATTAAAAATCATCAAGGTTCTTTCTTACCTTGATTGGAAAACCCATCCATTCACAGAAAAAACCTTCTCCAGACCTTTTGATCCCCCCTCATATTCATATTTCGACTATCAAAAGGCTTGGTCATATATTCTCCTGGAATGTAATCCAAAACATTCTTGGTATATCTCATTTAAAAATGAATTACCTGGTCCTATTCCGAATTGGTTCATAGATTGGTTTATTAATATCCACCCAGTCCAATCTATTATACCTGAAAATGTCTTAACCATATACCGAAAATTTAAAACTCTGACCCCTAATGAGTCACCCCATTTAAGATTAATAAAATTTTGCTCAGCTATGGGTATCAGTTGGCTCTTGGCCCATATTCTCGAAGTCCATCAACATAAAGAAGAGTCCTACCCGAAAACTATTTGTCGAAAGACAAAAGTTTTTTGGTGGAAGAAATTTGAAGTTAAATACGTTGAAGAGCGATTTCAAAAATGGAAGATTTCGGGCCTTCAGACATCTCGACCCAAGGCCCAGCCTCAATTAAAAATTGGAGAATCTCTAACAGTTGAAAATTTAGAGAAACTCCCTTCATCCAAAGAAGAAAAATCCCTTTTAAAGAAAAAATTGTTAGAAGCCTTATCCTCTTTAGGCTCTGACTCTGAAGAAGAAGAAGAAGTCGAAGACTGTTATGCCATTCAAATGGCCCAAAACCCCGAAGAAGATGAAGAACTTGATTTTCTTAATTTATAGCAATTATCTGAAAAGATTGCCTTAATTAAGAAAATTATTGCACAAAGGAATATAAAAATTTCGAAAATAATAGACTACCGAATACAACAGATATTGAAGAATTTGAAGAAACCTTTCGATGAAGATTGGAACAGTTGTGCATCTGAGTAAGAAGTCGTGGGTCCCTTGTCTCCCACGTCGCCCAAAAGATGCTTTCTTTTAGTTTTGTCGTTTTGTGTCGGCAGCCGAAAGTAAAGGCTTGCCAGTTGTAATTTTCTTTTGTTTAGATCGCAACACGTGTATGTATAGGATGTGTTGCTTTGAGTTTGTAGGTTTCTCGCTTCTCTATAAAAGAGTCTCATTCAGAGATTAGAGGACAATATAAGAACCTTAAATATTAACACTATATCGGCCAAAATTTTCAGGTTTTTGGCTCTGCCACCATTACTGGGAAGTATAAGTTCTGTGAATATTAATTCTGTTGAATAATTGAATCATAATTAATTCTGAATCATTTGAATATCCTCTTTAAACTTAATTTTCTTTGAAAATATCTGAATTAACCCAACCTTGCCTAGTTCATTGTGGGTAGTTGTAGCGTTGGTAAGCCGGTGAGTGGTAGTAAGTCCTAGCGAGAGGCAGTAAAACCCATAGGTGTTCCCGTAAAAACTACTTGTGTGATAGGATGGATAAGTTAATAAAGATATTTAAAGGAAAAGATAAGTTTGAAGAAGATATGAAAAATGATGAAGAAAAGAATATGAATCAATTAATGCAACATGAATTAATAATTCCAGAAATAGAAAACCAGTTAAATAAGTGGACGCTCCCCAAGATAAAAATTTCGAATATTTATGAAAAAGAATGGACAGATAAGTTCTCAACAGAATATGTTATAAAAACTGTGGATAAAGAAATTGAACTAAAGAATAGTCATGAACAACTTCCTTTAATAACTAAATCTTTAATAGCAGAACATATCAAAAACTATAAATATATGCATATAGGATCCATCCAAATAGCAATAAAACCTTTATTTAGAATAGGTATGGACACCCCAATGTTTGTAGCCTTAAGAGATAATAGACCAACTGAACTTGAAAATCAGATTTTGGCTATGATGGAAACCAATTTACATAATGGACCCGTATATATTAATAACTATCCTAATTACTCAATAGCTTTAAAAAGTTTTCATAATACTGAAAATAATTTAATATTAGATGTTAAAATTCTTGAAAACAAATGGAATAAGAACTCTTACCCTATAGCAATAATATATAGAATATATTACAAAGTAATGAAAACTCAGTTAGCTCCTAGAGCTTTACTGATGTCACCAAAAGATGAAACAACTATGTTATTAGTAAACCCTGAAAAGATAAGCGCGGTAGTCCCAAGAACATTAAAACATAATGAATTAACTACTGGCTTAAAATGGACAATAGAAGATATATTAAAACCGGATCCTCCAGATCCAGTTGAAGTTGACGAAATAATTGAATATAAATCAGGAACTGTAGAAGTTTCTTTTACCCCAATAAGAAGAACAAATTCTTTAAAAGGAGAAAGCTCTAAAGCTTCCTCACAAACATTTCATACTGCTAGGCGATCATCAGAAAGACCTAGTTTTAGATATCATAAAACTATGAATTTAAAAGGAATAGGTACTTCACTAATTTTTTCTCCTGATTTAGTTTTCCATATTTTTGTAGCATTTTTTAAAACATTAATGTTTAAATTTTTAAAACAATTTTCTTCAAACCATAAAAAGTATGGAATATTTTCTTGAATTTCTTCTAGATGTTCATAATATTGTTCTCTAAAGGTTTTTAATTCTTCTTGGGTGAATGGAAGTATAAGTTCTGTGAATATTAATTCTGTTGAATAATTGAATCATAATTAATTCTGAATCATTTGAATATATATATATATAGGAGAATGCTAATATACTCTTACCTATTTTTTAGTGGGAGTATGTTAGCTACTTACACTAAAATTTTAGGACAAAAAAATTACTCAATTTTTTTTTTGGTTAATTTGTATAAAGGATATTATAGTAATTTAATTTAATTTTAAATAAAAATAAAATATTTTCTCTCTTATTAATTTCATTTTCTAAGTCATTTCTCCCTCCTATTAAATTCCTTCTCCAACTCATTTCTCTTTTCTATTAAATTCTTTCTCTAACTTATTTATCTACCTATTTTTTCTCCAACTACCCATATAAAGTTAATGTACATTTATAAGAGCAATATGTTCCCAACAAAATACTATAAAAAAACAAAAAAATGGACATGTATAATTAAATACAGTAGGTTACAGTTCACGTGTAATCAATGCATTAATAATTAATGGAGTAGATTGTAGTTCAACAGTCTCAAAAATGCAAAAAAAAATAAAGGGTAAAATAAGAAAGTAAGTAATAAATATTTTTGAAAACTAAAATATCAATGATTTCCTTAAACGACTATGAAAAAAAAACGAAAAAAATATATTTTAACTCTCTCATCTCTCGTGATAAATATTTTTGAGTAATATATATATATATATATATATTACTCAAAAAGCTAAATAACTTTTTCTAGCACTTTTTTCATCTCAAATCGATTATTTTCTTTCAGCAACTACTCATTTTATGATTTATTTTTATTTAATTTTAAAAAATAGAGGTACGATGCCTCTGTTTTCCTAGTGTATATAAACTAAGCAAAAAAAAATCAATATGGTAACACGGGTAAGTAACATCGGATACAAGCACAGTATTTGAAAGGAACATTTGAATAAGGGTCCCACTAGACACAACTTATAAATGCATAGTTCTATTTGTTGACATAGTAACAAAAGTCAAAACAGTTTGTTTTGTTCTGAACAGAAAATGACGCCTGCATACCAATTTAGGTCAATGAAAACGGGACAGAGGGGTCAAAATAATCAATACACCAATATAGAATCACAAAAATAATGGTAAGAAGCACGAATTAGGACAGCCTGTCTCCCCTTCAATCATAGAAACGTCTTAAATATGTTGATAACACAGTCGAAACTTATTTAAAGTGAACAAGTAATATATTTTACGAAATTAAAAATAAAAATAATATTTTATTTATTAGTATAAAAAATTATCGAAGATGAAAACTGGTTTAGTCGCCCAATCCGAGAGTTTCACGTGTGTTTCGGTGTTTATTGTTTATTCGTGTTTGGCAACCCCACTGAAATGAGCATAGACACAATAATGATTCTTTACGAGAAGATAAGGATGCCTACAGAAAAACGTAATGAGCGTTAGCATTTCACAATTTGGTGTGACGTAACTTTAGGAAAAATAAGCAAACTTGTGAAAAATTATAGGGAAAAAGAGGAAAGAAAAAAGAAGATGGAAGAAGAAGAAAATGAAAGGACAGGCCATGCCTGCTGTTGCACCTTGCACGCACGCTTTCTGTCTCCAACAACTTTTATCCACGCATTTTCTCACCAATAAATCAAGAGTTAAAACCAACGCAAACGCATCTTTCTAAACAAAATCAAAGCAAGTGGCAGTGTTATTCCCTTTCGATTTCCACATGCTTGATTTCACATTTCGAATTGTGATTTTAGAAAACTGATAATAATAATAATAATAATAATAATAATAAACGATGCGATCTCCTCAGCCTCTTCGCAACGGAGGCGATAACAGTTGTTCGCCGTCGCAGCCACCTCGCTTCCAGTCGACGGTGGCGGAACACAAACTGCGTCGTTTCAACCTCCTAATCCTCGTGTTCCGCCTCGCCTCCTTCTCCTTCTCCCTGGCCGCCTCGGTTTTCATGCTCACAAACACTCGCGGCTCCGATTCTCCTCACTGGTACCACTACGACACCTTCAGGTACTCTTATTACTTCTCTCTCTCTCTCTCGGTTAAATTGGAAAATAGAAATTGAGTTAGGGAATCCGTTCAGATTCGTTGTAGCTGCGAATGCGATAGCGGCGGTGTACTCGATGTTCGAAATGGGCGCGTCGGTGTGGGAAATTTCGAGAGGCGCAACGCTTTTCCCCGAAGTGCTGCAAATATGGTTCGACTTCGGGCATGACCAGGTGAGAAAAGCGTAACTGTTAATTAATTTTAGTGTGATGTGATGTGGTGTGGTGGCGGTGCAGGTGTTGGCGTACCTGGTGTTGTCGGCGAGCGCGGCGGGGACGGCGATGGCTCGGACGCTGAAGGAGATGGACACGTGTAGGGCGAGCAGCGCGTTCTGCGTGCAAACGGAGATAGCCATAGCGTTGGGATACGTGGCGTTTGTGTTCCTAGGGTTGACGTCGCTGCTAACGGGATTCCGCGTCGTCTGTTTCATAATCAACGGTTCCCGTTTTCATCTCTGAGTTCACAGGAAGTGGGAAGGAGCCAGAAACGAATATTTTGGTGGGGTCACTCTCACTCTCACTGTACTCCAATATGTGACTCATTTCGAATTTGGAATGAAAGGCTCCTTCCTTTTGTATCAAAATTAGGATTAGTATTAGTATATTTATCTAAGCAATGGAAAACGAAGGTTTCATGCCTTGGGAAACGTGTTGCTTCCGTTTTAGTATGCCACTTGTATTGTATGTTCACTTCATTGATTTTTATTTTTTTAAGAAATCTTAATAACACTTTGATTATAATTTATTTTAACTATCGAATACTAGGTTTATTTCAGCATTAACACCCCCTCCCTCGGTTATTTTGTATTTTTATTTGTAGTGTAAAAAGTTTGAGAAAAATATAGATTTTATTTTAAAAAACATTTTTTTTTGTGTACAATCAAAATAACAATAATCAAACATAAGTACTGTTCTAATTTCTGCTATTAATTGAACCATAATATTATTGAAAAATTACTATTTTTAGAGAAAAAACAATCCTATTTAAATTAGATAACATTATTATAAGTAGTAAAAAAAAATTAAAATATTTAATACAATTATATATCAATTACACGAACTCAAGACTTATGAGAAAATTATTTTATTTAGTGATGATATAGTGTGAGATGAAAAATTACAAACCTATAAAAAGTTATAAAAAAAATTATGTATTTGAATCCAATTTATATATACTGTTAACATTATATTATCTTATTTAAAATAATTAAATTTCGTAATTAGAATATATATTTGCAGCCTAAAGTTACTTAGTTAATTTTTTTTCTTTTAATCTATAATTTATAACATAAATAAAAGAGATATTCTATTTTAATGTTCACATTTTTTTTACCTTTTTATTCCTTAATTAAATTATTTAACTACCCTTTTACTTCTTAACTAATTTGTTTAAATATATCACTACTAAACATTTTTTTATTAACTGACAAATCATTATATACAGTAGTTTATTAATTTTTATAATAATTACTTTGAAAATTATATAAAAAATAATTTTTTTATTAACAGACAAAGTAGAAACTTTCATGTTAATAGAATTAACTAGTACAAATTTTTTTAATTTAACTAAATAATCTCAAGTTTGAGTCTTGAATAACTAATTGCATCAAATACTCAAAGAAAATTTTGTCACTTATAATAATTAGTATATATCTATTTAACTCTCTCTATATATGCTAAATTACAGTAAAATTTACTCCCTCACAAGTGTTTTATGAATTAACTTTGGATTTATTAAGAATTTAAGATTTTTTTTTATCTACATGAATTAGAATGACATCGATAATATTATAATCTAAAACCTTAGTAGTTAGTACATATTATGCCAACTCCTTACCACAAGGTTTATGCATGACAAATAAATCCAAATTTAAACGTCTGCCATGTTATATATCATATATTTATTCACGAGTTAGAAAATTTCTATTTCTACTATATTTTTATATTACTTAAAAATATTAATTAATTGTTTAATATTTAAATTAAAAATTGGTTTAATAAGAAGGTATAATTTTTTTGTGACTCTATGCTCAAGTTAAAGATTAAACTCTTCTTTTTAATTAAAAAATATAAATACTAAATCATTTATGTTAACAATTTTTAGTAATAATAGTTAAATAATTTAAAGTGTAATAGTAATTAGATTATAAAATTTAAATTACACAATTAACTAAAAATTATTATTTTTTGGACAGAAACTAAAAATGAAATTGACTCGTACAACACAACCTTTTATATTTAATGCATATTTTTTAAATTAAATACCTATGTTTTATAAGGTAAATTATAAGTAAATTGTAGTAATCAACTGCTATGTGCTTATTTAGTTTAGAGCTCGATAGAAATGATTTTGATTTTGGTAAAAATAATTAAGATAAATTAAACTGAACATTAATATTGACGTCATAACAAAGAAAGGATATTTGTTATGCTAGAAATTTGTTATATCTAATTGATTCACCGATGATTGATACCTAATCGTGCTTTCTCCATCACGCAAGATAACTACAGAGTACAGATGCAATCAAATACAATTTACAACAAAACTAAAGGGGAGAACATGTCGTATCCTCCTAGTTACTATCACTATACAAAAACACATTATTGACCTGATTGCATCAGATTCCCCCACTTATTAGTGGTATTAATACATTAAGATGCTTATAATGGACGAGACTAAAGTTGTGTTTTACTTCCAAATTATCGTCTCTCGATAATACAGGTAGGCATTAAATCGAAACTCTTAATATCATTATCTTTCATCACAAATAAATTTGGCTAAAAACTTATTTTGGTCCATATAATAATTGTTTATTTTAATTTAGTTTTACTTTTATTTTTGGTCTCAATTTAGTCCCTAATAAATTAATTGGTTAGAATGTCGGACTTCCGTCTAAATTCTTTAAATGGAATTAACTGTTGGCCACGTGGATGTCACGTAAATACATAGGTGGATGCCACGTGGATGCTAAATTCCTTGAAAATACCTGGAACCAGAACGGTCCGTTCTTGGTGCACTCTTGGTGTGTTAATTTTGCATCTAAAACGGATCAGATGCAAAATTAACACACCACGAGTACAAAAGAATGACCCGTTCTGAAACCAGAACGGGTCGTTCTGGTTTTAAAACAGGTCGTTCTGGATTCAGAACGGCCCGTTCCAGAACTATAATAATTTTGAAAAATATTTTTTTATGGTAAAAATTTTAAAATTACTTACTTTTATAAAATACAAATGTCTTATAAATAGAATGATAACTTTTCCTTTTTCTCTTTCTGTCCGAGGAATAAAATGATAAAAATTAATAGGATAAACATAATAAAATTATTAATTTGTTTTCTTTTAGTGTCCTCTAAATTTTTGCACTCATTTAAAACAAAAATATTTTATATGTTATTTTGAAATAATTTAATGAAGTATCATATGATTTTTAATTTTTTAAAAAAAATTTATAAATTTGATCTATACATGAAAAGATTTTTAATTTAACAATTAAATTTTTAAAAATTTGATACAGAACATTAATTATTAAATAGAATAAATCTATCAAAATTTACTCTTGAAGTAAGTAAATTTTTTCTTCATTAAAAATAAAGATAATTTTTTCTTCATTAAAAATGAAGATAATTTTATCACAAAATAAAAAATAATTAAACAATAAAATAAAATATATAAAAAATATTAATTTATTTTTTATATTAGATATAACAAAATAATTAAAATATAATTAATAATATATATTTTATAAAATTACTAATATTTTATATATAAAAAAAAAGAATGAAAAATAAATTAGTGGGGGTAAGTGCCCCTACTATGATTAACTTAGATTCGTCCCTGCATGTGGTTGTGTGATGAAATGTTAGTCCTGTGTATCCTCTTTCTTTACTTCAGGTTCTACCTCTTCAAGAACATGTTGTTGTTAGGGTACATCGTTAATAACTTCAAGGAAAAATATCATCTCATTTCATCCTTTACTATAATGTGTCAATTTGGTAATAAGTGGTTCACTCCAGTTTAACTAACAATGAAATAAAATCTGCTACCATTGTCTTTAGTGATACACTACATTGTTCTTAATGATACACTGTATAGCCCAACTGTTTAGCAATTGAAGTTATCAATTTTCATTGACAATATTACCAAATCCAGTGTTTGAAATGCTCTGTATCTTGGATCTTTTTCCTTCCACTATTCACAATCGTGAACTATAATCATTGACCGTTTGTGTTTAGCAGTCTGGAACCAGAACGTCTCGCAAATTTTTTGAAAACGGCCCGTTCTGGTTGCACTTTTAATGTGTTGATTTTGCACCTAGAACGGGCCATTTCGGATGCAAAATTAACACACTAAGAGTGCACCCAGAATGGCCCGTTCTGGTTCCAGGTGTTTTCCAAAAATTTGGCATCCACGTGACATCCACCTATGCATCTACGTGGCATCCACGTGACTAACAATTAACTCCGTTTAAATAATTTGGACGGAAGTACAACATTGCACCCAATTAATTTATTAGGGATCAAATTAAGACCAAAAATAAAAGTGGGACTAAATTGAAACAAACAATTATTATAAGGGACTAAAATACTACTTTAGCCAATAAATTTGGAAATCAACCTAAAATCGCAAAAATTCAAACTCCTTCCATTTGAACTATTTTATGAATGTGAAGGACTATTTGTTTCACTCCTAGAACAAATTAATTTCATTATCCATAAGCTCCGGTGACCAAATATAAGCTCCATTTATATTGAGATTATATTTGATTTAATTTTAATAAAATTAATTTTGAAACTGCTATTAACAAGTCTAGGAATAATGATTTGATTAAGCTTGATGCTCAAGTATGAATAAAAAGTCCCACATTAAATAAAAATCAGTATATGGAATAATGTATAAGTGAAAAAGATTCTTAAGTTTGATATTTTAAGATTTTGAATTAAAATATAATATCAAATTCACTTGTGTATAATTTATTCATGAAGCATTAATGAAGTTCTCTCATGTGTTTAATCCAACATATTCCTAACAATAAGCATTATTGTCACTATACAGTCTATACTACACCCTTCAACCATTCAAGCTGGTCCTCAAAAACTACAATTTCATGTAAACAACTCAGCTCATCTTCCAACATTACAAACACCTGACTAATAAGGCATAGTTGATGCTCAGTTTATGCATTCTATGAATCTTATTTTATATTATCTATAACAATGCAAATGCTGAAATGATGAGCAACTACCATAACAGGACATTACAAGGTGACTCAGGTGACATAAATTTGACAATGCCAAAGGAAAATTCAGAATGACCATCAACAATTTATAAGGAAGGATGGTCCATGTTTCGAGATATATCAAGCCTGTCTTTGGAACAAATTAATAGGTGATCACATGATTCCTAACTAGTTTTTATAAACATGTAATCAAGTATAATTAATTTTTCTTGTAAGTTGAAAAACTTAAAAAACTTAAATTCATGTCACGTAATAATTAATTGAAATCATAAACACCTTAACAATTCTAGACTACCTAATGATAAACACTTAATAATCTTGAACTACCTAATAATCTCTTCATCTTTTGGGAGCATCACATCTAGTATTTGTCTTTAGCTAACTATATACCAGATTTCACAACCAAAAGTTTTTATCACAAGCCTACGAGGACATAGATGATAATTGAATACATTAGCGAGCTGCAAAATCCCATTATTTTCATGTATTTTAGCATGTTTGGTACAACTTAACATGAACAATAGAACATTATAACTCTTTCAGCAACTAAAAATACAGACGATTATTTCTTTAAAAAAAATTTAAAAAAAAAAAACTAAATCAAACACATTTGAAGAAACACGAGTTTTTTTTTTTTTTTTTAACTTATTTTTACATAAGCCGTAAATTATGAACTGCGCATTTAAAGCGAGCTGATTCTTCACAAGATCTTTTGATTTGGACAAAAATTATATATGATTGTTAAGGTGTTTTTGTTATTATTCTCTAATTAGAATTGAAACTTGACTTGAATAACATATACTTATTTATAATACAAATCTTTATGTGCAAATTATTGAGATGAAACTCAATTTATGATCTCAGAACAGATTCGACAAACCTAAAGAATTGCATCTAAATTTTGTCTGATAAATTTCACAGGGTGAAGTTGTAGCATCCTGTCCATCCATAACTAACTAGAGTAACATGAAGTCATCAACTATTTTTGGCAACCATAATTTGCCTAAGAGGTTATTTAAAAGTGCAAGTATTGGTACTCCTTTGGTAACCTTTTAATTGTTCCGGTTTGAATCACTTCACAAGTATGCCATGCAATGAGGCATATATAGAAGATTCAAAAACCAGCCAAGTAAAAAGGCCCACATTTTGTAAGATGAGTACTACACAAATCATTTGCTCAAATTCAACAAGTTTGATCAGCTCCTGTTAGATTAGTGATCAATTGATTTTGTCACTCATTTGTCAAAAGCCAAATACATTATTTGTGAGAAAAAAAAGTTTGCATAATCACAACCACGCAATTCCCAAATAGGGCAAATTATTGGGAACAAATCAAATACAGACGGAAAAAACAAGAAAAAAAAAAAAACGAAAAGCAGTATTTTGAGAAGAAGAAAAAAGGGGAAGCGATCGCAGTGGGATTCGAACCCACGACCTTTAGATCCGGAGTCTAACGCGATATCCACTCCGCTATGCGACCATTATGCGACACTTATGAAATGAAAATTTCATGAATGGAACTCCGACATTCACCTTGCATAGGTTGTCGTATCGTGTAGATCTAACAAGTGAAAGCGAAAGGATATCCTTCGCACGGATCTATTTTTCAAAAGAGAAAAAGAAAAACGTAAACGGTTTTTGAAGGCAACACTTTGAGAAGATTAAAGAGAATGAAGACGAAGATATACCTAGTTGTATAAATTGATGTAGCCAGAAAATCCAACGATGGTAGCGCGGAAGAGAGAGAGAGACCTCAGGCGGTGGTAGTTTTATTTCAGTTTTCTCCGATCGATGAAAATGAAAGGAACTGCTTGATCCGGTTATTGAGTTTGGGTGGTTTCTTTGTCGCCTTCTAGCGTTGTGCTCGTGGCGTGCGTGGGCCTAACAAAATTAATTCAACTCATGCTTAACCGTGCGGCCCACATCAACACGCGGTTAATATTTTTCTCCGGATACACGTCACATTCACCACATCTACGTTATACAGACCCAAAAAAAAAAAGTATCTTTCAGTTTGATTTTATTTATTTATTTAATAACTAATGGGTCAATACAATATTTGTTTAAAAGTGTCTATATATTTATTTAAAAATATCTAAAATTATTAATATTTTGTTGAATCAACTGTTGTTACGTCTGGTCCTAAAATCTTAAATCTCTAGTTCGAATTTTAGATTTATAAAAATAATTAATTTTTAATATTATTTTTTATTATTTAAAAATTTAAGAATAAAATAATTCAAAAATTATGTACACGAAAATTAAAAATCATTTTTATATATAAGTATAAATTAAAATATATGGAGACATTATTCTTTCAAGCTTGATTTCGATATACAGTCCACGGAAATTTTTTTTACACAATTAAATATGGCAATGTTTTCTAATGGAAAATCAAATTCAATAATTTTATTCTTTTTAACAAATTTTACACTTAAATTTTCATAATGTTGTATTCTCACATTTCTTATAAGTTTTTCATTTTTTTTAATTAATGGGTATTGTTTATTCCTAAGAAAGTATGTCATGATAAGGGGTGAAAAGGTTATCATTATGCAAATTGAGTTTGTAATAACCTTGGTATTGCTTTAAATAGTTTCTGGCCCAACATAATTATGCTAAAAAACTTTTGAAAGATACCGAAACATATCACCAAACTGACTACTGGTAAACAAAACATAGCCTAACTTGTTCTGACTCCACATTCGAAGCAAAGGCACCCTCTCGTATCAATTAATCCCAACGTTTGAATATCACGAGAAAATAATTTTATATGTAATTCGCCAGTTAACAGCGTCATTTACTTCAGCATAGTGTAGTACAGGATCAGTTGCTGATGCAAACTTTGTTTCCAAAATAACATACAAATTTTCCAGTCAAAATTTATATACACACACATGCATCGTGCTCGTACATACGGTTCTTGCATATGTATGTATGTAAATAAATATTTGTGTACATAAATTATTAAAAGAATTAGCTCTACAAGAGGCTAAGTTGGTGAAAACATTGGATCTAAGCTCCAGCGACTTCTTGAGCTTGTTTCAACTTCTTCCCTTTGCTTTTCACAGTCTTTCCAATTGCAACCCCTTTGTCTTCCACTTCAGTTTGATTCTCAATCCTAGCAAAGACTGGTTTAGGTTGAGCCATAACCTGGCCACCCTTTAGTCCACCCCACTTGGTGTCACTCTACGATGTAAAACAACTTAAATCAGACAGGTGGCAGAACAATAGAGTTCAAAACCATGAATCAATCATGGATATGTAAAAATGTACGTGACTTTGTGTTTGTGCACATGCATATATGTGTGTGTGTAAGAGAGAGAGGGAGAGAGAGAGAGACCCAAGTTGTCGCATCGAATTGGTCCCTTGAATAGCCAAGTTGTGCATATATTCTCCAACTCAAGCTTGGTGTAACAGGAAACAGTGCAATTGCAATGATCCTCACCGTCTCTAATATAATTACAAGGTCCTGCTCCAACATAACAAGTTAAAAAATTTTGCTTAGGCGTTTGCTTATCTTCAACGGCAGAAAAACTAGGTGACACATTGATTAAGCTTATTATACTTGGTTAACAAGGAAAAACAAAGTTCAGTTGCTAATGACAATAAGCAAATTGATTATTTTCTATCCATTGAATAAACTTCTTCAGAAGCATTTCGGTAGAAAAAAAAAAGAAAAAAAATCAAATAAATTTCTCTATAAGTTAAAACTAGTTTATGTATAAACTAATTTGTAATTTTTTAGAAAACCTATACAAGAGAATTTCTGCAAGTTAACTTATGCATAAACTAATTTAATTTATGGAGAAATTTATTTCATTTTTCCTTCCTTTTTTTTTTCTAGAAGTGCTTTTGTATAAATTTATCTAAACAGACCCTAAGAAAAAAAACAATTGTTTAGTTTTTTATTTAAATTTGCTTCGATGTCAGTTAAAGGGTTTGAATGTCAATAAACTATAGCCCAATTTGAATAAATTTTCTCTATAGGGTTGAGTAAAATTACCTTAGCAGCTGCTTCAGCTGCAGTACCCCCTTGCTTAAAGAGAGACCATGGTGCACGCTGATCCATATAGGAATTCCCAACATTTCCAATCTCCAGAACAGCCTCACAAGCTGATGAAAGGGAGAGATTTTCATAGTGGATGCGAGCTTTATCAACCTGCAAACATAAACATTGGTCAAACTTTGCGTCCCAGGCAACTCCCACAACAACTTATGAACAAGGACGAAAAGAATAACTTTAGGATATGTTAAGTTAGCAAATATGAAACCGAAATATGGAAAATAAAAAGGGTCAGACGGTTTCTATTTTGAAATTTGAAATAGAATATAAAATAAAAGTTCTAATGATATAGCCTGTAAACAAATTATTATTTCATTTTTTGTTTGGTATATAACAAAAATACAATGTTCTGGGCAGGGTCCTTAGATATGCAGAGTTGTATCTAGCAAGCCTCTAACAACCCATCAAAGTTAAATACCATATTTTCCCTCCTTATTCATCAATCAGGATTGTTTAATCCAGTTGCTGGTGAGTTATTTCATTATGTCCAAATACCTAGAACACAGGATAAAATTGAAGTAGTAGTTAGCATCTACTCTCACATCAAAGTGGTCTCCCCCTGAATGTAAAAACAATGTATTTCAATTTGAAATTCCTAGCATTCAGAACATAATAAAAGCTACCACTCAACTGTGCAGCATTAGAGACCAGGTAAAAATCACCATAAAAATAATGTGCTACAGAAGGTTTCTGTAGTTATTGAATCCACAGGTAGCAAAACCTCAAACTGCTGCAAAATGACATACTTCAAATTTTGTTTATAGATTATAGAAATATAGTTTCCTAGAGGCTTTACCAGCTTCTCTACATCGTCCTTGAATGCATTTCCTTCAGCAGCCGTAGTGGAATCCACCACCAGAATTGATTGGCAGTTCTTTTTTAGAAGTCCTAATGTTCGATTAAGAAGATTTCCTGCCAAAATAGTGAAGGAAACACATCACATTTAGCATTAGAATCATAATAAAACGAACAAAAATATATATAAACAATTTGTTGTTTCTGAATGTTAAAAGTAATGAAAGCAAGATTGAAAGTACCAATTGTATTGGCAAGATGTGCATTCACAATATTGATGAAGCGTTCCTCCGAATAGTCTCCATCATTGCCAAATTCCACCTCTCTGAGGAAGAAATATCTAACTGCATCTGTCCCAAATTTATTAACCAAATCGTTTGGTTCAAGTGTATTCCCTAGTGACTTGCCCATCTTCATGCCATCCTATCATTTTCAAAATAAAAAAGCATTGCTGCATGAAATGAAATTAAATATAAGAAACAGATTTATAAATTTTGGCTAAGTCAAATTGCCAAATTTAGTTTCCTACCTTTAGCTAAGACCCATATTATATTTGAAGTAACGATTGTAAATTTAATTCACATTTGAATTGAACGTATTAGACTCAATAATTGCACAAATAAATAGTTAAATTTTACTATTTCGACACCATATTTGAAGAACAGTACATAAATCAGAAGGTTTCCTCCTAAAAAGGAGCTTACTCCTTCAAAACACAATGGCTACCTCCTACTGTGTCACAAAAAATATATAACACTACAACTGCCACACAAATACCTGACTAAAGACACAAATAACACAAACAATAAATGAGATTCATTACTACCTAAAGACACAAATACCCAACAAGGAGTTTCCTCCCTCAAAACACCACAAACCCTAAACTAACACAATGACTGCCTCCTACAGTGTTTGCCTGTTTGGTATATCAACGAGTTTTACCTTGGTTAACTACCCACTACAGTATCACTAAATATATATCACTATAACTGCCAAACAAATCCATGACTGCCAAAATAACTTCTCGCTAAACACACAAATACTACAGAAACACTAATAATTTAGATCCATAAATACCTAAATAACTACCCTAAGACACAAATACTGTACAAACACTACCAAGTCTTGTCTGTTTCTTGGCCCTTCTCACATAATGTTTCCAAGGTCTATCAGAATGACTTAATTAAATTCAAATGAATTATCCAATTTCAGGTGATATACTCACTTATATATCATGTATAATTCTTCTCCAGGAAAAAATTGGATCCAATGTCAGGTGATATACTCTCTTATATATCATGTATAATTCTTCTCCAGGAAAAAATTGGAAGTATTAAGGAAACATTGACATAAACATAAACATAAACAAAAAAAAAAAAACACAAACACAAACATAAACATAAACCTAATCCTAAACATAAAGAACAACTACAACAACAATAATAATAATAACAATAACCACAACAACCACAACAATAATAATAATAACAATAACCACAATAACCACAACAATAATAATAATAACAACAACAACAGCAGCAACAACAACAACAATAATAATAATAATAACTACCAAGGCTATTATTGATGTTAAGTCATATAATTCTTTTTCTGGTAAAACCTTTTGAAGCATTAAGATACTTCAACAAAATAATAAAATAGTAATAATAATAACAACAATAATGACAAATAATAATGACCTAGCTATTGTTGCAAACAAAATAATTATAATTATAAAAACAACCTAGCTATTAAAAGACAAAAAAGGAATAAAAACAAAGTTCTTGGCCCTGACATCTCTTGTAAAGAAGGTACAAATTAGAACGAAGTTACTACTATAGTTACCTCAAGAAGAAACATAAAGATAATAAATAGGTTTAACTACGAATACCTTTGTCAAGAATCCATGGCCAAATACCATTTTAGGAAGGCTTAGTCCAGCAGACATTAGCATAGCTGGCCAATAAACAGCGTGGAAGCGTAGAATATCCTACAGAGCACAGAGTAACAAAATTAGTAAAGAAATATAGAAATTCAATGTTTTGACTATTCCTTCATCTCTTTTA